TTCAACTACCCATGGAACAAAATCTCTCCCTACCTGGATCCAGAAAACATCTTCATTTTCCCTTGGGAGAACCCAAGCCCTGGAAACTGGGACTAGCTCTCCTCCTTTTCCTCTGCCAACCCTGTTCTCCCACTCCCCCGAAAAACTTCCTTACCTCAATTCTCTTAACCGCACCCATTCTCTTCTGAACAAATTAAACCCAGCACTAGCTCAAGACTGTTGGCTTTGCCTGTCCTTTTCTTCTGTCTATATTGCTATCCCGGTACCACTCTTTAAGTGGAATCAGGCAAAGACCACTTTTACCTATAAAAAGGAAAAAGGAGCCATTTTTCTAGATAAAGCAAATACTCTCCTAGGCAACTATCCTACCAATCAGGCTTCTCTTCCGCACTTACATTCAAACCCTCGCCACTGTAGCTCCCACCTCCATACTTGTCACAGGCCCTGTCACCCTACACACCCCACTAATTGCCCAAATCCCTTTATGCTTTACAAGATCAGAGGGCAATATATCAATAGGCCATCTTCCATCATCACCTTGCAACACCAGTTACTCTAGTGAGGGGGAATATAGGGGGCACCTGGGGGGTGGGGGTTAGCGATCTGAATCTGTGCCAGTAACCAATATCCTCATGCACATTCTTGTTAGCCTATAATTAAGTCACTGCCCCTTCCTTAGGCAATAATCTGTTTTCCTAAATATTCCCAGTTTACAAAGGCCATAAACCAAGAATTTAACAGCTTAGCTAGAGGGGAGGTCACAGGCAGCACCCAGGCCAGGCCTTTGGGTGTACTCTCATTTCCCCCATCCCAACCCACAGAGGGACTGCAAAGCCCCCCAAAAGTCCGAAGCCTGGTCCATATTTGGGGAGACAAACCAAGGGGACAAATGGGAGAGACCCTCCACATTCGGCACTTGGGCTTTGGAGAAGGACTCCCGAGTCACCATACTTGTACATCTGCAAATAAAGAGTTTTTCCTGAACCTTCCGAGTACCCGTTGTTTATTTCTCGGTCGCCTGGTAAATTCTGAAACTAGAACTCCTGATAGGCCGTTGATCCCAGTCGGTCAACCAGCAGGTCTCATCAGAGGTCAGTGGTCATTTCCTACGGCCGGTCTGCTTTACTGCCTACCCAGTCATCCAAGCCCAGGGCTCCAACTGCTCCTTTCTTTCCCTCTTGCTTTTTCCCTGGGTGACAAGCCATTCTAGCATTCCCGCCCACTTTCACTGCACTAAAACCTCCACCACTCAGCTGTCACTCCTTATCGGCGGCACTTTGGCTACCACCCTTATGATTTGGAGCACAGAACCAGTAAAACAAGGGAAATCCATTGCATACCCTCTATCCACCTTTTTTCCTCTACATTTCTGTTTGCCTGATTTGGGATTTTTTTCCTCTGGGGGGATAATGGCTACATCTGCCTCCCAGCTAATTGAACAGGAACTTGCACCCTTTCTTATCTCTCAATCAGTGTAGATATAGCTCCCAACAACCAGTCTTGGCCCGTTCCCATAACCCTTCACATTTGATATAAAAGGGCAATACAGATAGTCCCTTCCTAGTAACCCTTGGAATCACCTCAGGAGTCAGGACTGGCATAGGGGGGCTGACTACTGCTCTTTCGTATTTCGAAACCCTATCCTAGGACTTACAAGAGGGCTTAGCCCTAGCCGGTTTGGCTCAGTGGATAGAGCATCAGCCTGCGGACTGAAGGGTCCGGGTTCGATTTTGGTCAAGGGCACATGCTCAGGTTGCGGGCTCCATCCCCGGTAGGAGGCATGCAGGAGGCAGCCAATCAATGATGCTCATCATGGATGTTTCTGTCTCTCCCTCTCTGAAATCAATAAAAATGTATTTTTTAAAAAAAGAGGGCTCAGACGATATTGCTAAAAGTTTAGTTAAAATCCAAGACCAAATTGATTCCCTTGCAGCTATAACATTACAGAACAGACGAGGCTTAGACCTGCTGACAGCTGAGAAAGGTCTTTGTCTCTTCCTGGAAGAGAGCTGCTTTTGCATTAACCAGTCAGGACTAGGCCGAGATGCAGCTCAGAAGTTGACAGAAATGGCCACCAAAATTAGAGAGCGTCAGTCCAACACATGGGACTCGGCTAAAAAATATAAATTGGTACACCTGACTCCTTCCTTTTATAGGCCCGTTAACATTCATATTCCTTAGTCTTGCCTTTGGCCCTTGTATTCTGCGTTCTGCGCCACTTTTCTTTATTTCTCCAGGACCATTTCCAAGCTTTCACCAACCATCCATACGGAACCAGAACCTCACCCAGACAGGAGCAGACCAATATCTCACAGGGGCTGACTACCAAAATCTGTCCCATTACGTCTTTGGCGCCCCCATCCAGCATGAAGCAGATACAGAAGAAACAACCTCTGCCCCCATTCCATAAACAAGGTCTGGGCAAGCAGTGACCCAAACCTCCTCTAGAGCTTGTCCTTCCCTGCATGAGAACCTGGCTTTAGACATCCTCCTTGACTAAATGCAGTAACTTTCCATCATACCCGCCCAGAAAAAACCCACCCAGGGTCCTGTAGAGGCCCTGACTCCCCGACTGCTCAGGGGTGATGCCATTTTGGGACTCAGCCCATCTGTTTGCAGATGCCTTAATAAACTTAACATTCTTTACTTCATCTGGCCTCATGCGTTCCTCCTCCAGCAATCTAACACTTACTACAGGATTAATTGGCCACTGAGAGCTTTCCCATTGGGTCTTGTGGAGGGAAGTTGACTGCCCAGATTACCGCATGCACCTTGGAGAGCACTGAGGTTCCCAGCAGCCCTGCTCTGTTTTCTTTCGTGGGCATATTCTTGGATCTCAACCTGGTTATGAGGGAGTACCACCCTCTTAGTGTTGAAGTCAGGATCTGGGCTTTGCCGAGAGCTCTAAAAGGTGATTTCAACAGACGAGACAGGCACTCCAGAAAACACAACTTTATTCGCTAGGACTGAAAACAAAGGCTCTCTCTCAACAGGCTTGGAGATTTTAGTGTAAGGTGTGGTGCACTATCAGCCCTCTCAGCTCGACCTCACCAAGTACAGGCCTCAGCTGTGTGAAGACGGTGCCTTCGTCAGCAAGTTAGGGCTGGTGGTCCCAGTGTACCTGACATCTTTGTGATTTACCACATGCTATTCCTTGTATTACAAAGCCACAGTCTTGGCATCCTCCAAGGGGACGTGAGAAAAGATCCTGTTGATTGAACCAGAGCCTCCTAGTGGGTGAGCCGGGAGCACGTGCCCCTGGTCCTTGGCACAAACGCATGTGATTCTCAGTGAAGTCCTCTGCCTGGGGCCTGGTCAGGAGTCCTGCCATTCTCTGCCTGGGCAGCAAGCATGTGCAGCTGAAGACATGGCTTTGTAAGGGGTTAGGTCAGAACTGCTGCCTAAAAACTGAATATGTCCAGGAGGGGGCAGCAGAGAGCACCAAGTGCCCTGCACAGTGCATCCCTTCCTACAGTTGCTTTTCCGTGAAGGTCTTGGGGGTAAGGGTAAGGCTCTCAGGCGGCAGCAGCAAGTGAAAGGGCTGCAGACCCGCTAGCTCTCTGGAGCCCATTTGTTAGGACTGAGGTTATATAGATTGCAACACAGACAGGGGAAGGGCTAGGCTCAGCCCGAGAGTCCTGGAAACCCTGGGATTGACCGCTGGGTGACAAGTAGAGGGCCCTGCCGACCAGCTTTCCCTGGTTCAGGGTCTGCAGCAGGAGGCCCTGCGGCCCTCCCTCTTGACATAGTCGTGCAGCTGGAAGTGGAGCTCGCTGGTGCTCTTCATGGAGCGCTGCTTCAGCTCCCTGTGGGACAGGGGTGACCATGGAACAGGGTGGCCAGTACCCCCAACAAGGGGATTCAGAGCCTGGATCTGAATCTGGAGGTCTTCCTAGTGACTGCGAGGACTTACTTTGCTATGGCTGTGAAGGCCAAATCCACGTTGAGGCCCATCTTGGCACTGGTCTCCATGAAAGGCAGCCCATACTCCTGCAAATAGCTGCTGCCAGCCAGGTGGCAGCCTGGTGGGGACAACCCAGGCCCTACAGCCCCGTGGGGGGCAGCCCTAGCCACCCACCTCGCCCAGACTCACCTTGGCCAGCTTCTCCCCATCCTCCCTCTTCACCACGCGCTCCTGGGCAGAATCCACCTGACACAGGGACGTTGGTGAGAGCTGGCCTCGGGCTCACCGCCCTGTAGAGCCAGGGGGAGAGGACAGGCAGGGGTGCCCACCTTGTTCCCTAGCAGCATGAGCACCACGTCGTGCTGGGCATATTCTTGGATCTCGGTCAGCCAGGCCTGTCACGGGAGAGCTGAAACCAGACTGGAGGCTGGTGTTCTCCACACCCCTTGCCTCTCCAAGCCACACCACACACAGTGCCTCTCTAACAGGAAAGGCCCGGAAATTTAGCCATGGGCCATGCTGAGATACCCCTGACAAGTATCCAAGATGGTTGGGCCACCTTCAGCTCATCCTCTACACTTGGGCCACCAGGAGCCCAGAGGGGCCCTCCTTCCCCCTCCCTGCTGTCAGTAGGGTCCTCAGACCATCTACCTAAACGAGTTTGGAGTGGGACCAGGACCCATCATGGCCTCTCACACCACACACACACACACACACACACACACTCACCAACCCAGAAGGAAGCCACTGACCTGGATGTTGTCAAAGGAAGCCTTGTTGGTGACATCATAGAGCAGTAGCAGCGCTGGGGGCAGAGGGCCAGTGAGGACACCTCCAGTCACCCACAACCCTCCTCTGAGCAGAAGCCTAGGGAACAGGGCACACACAGACACAGACCACAGCCCCGACTCCTTGGCCTGGGACACTGCCCATGAGCTCACCATGTGCATCACGATAGTAGGCATGGGTGACGCTGCGGAACCGCTCCTGGCCAGCTGTGTCCCAGATCTACAGTGACAGGTACAGGCCGGTGGTCAGGCCTGCCCAGTGCCTCCTGAGTGCCCTCAACTCACCCTCCCCCAGTTGCCTCACCTGCAGCTTCACCTTCATGCCATCCACGTCCAGAACTTTGTTCTGAAACACAACCAGCCAACTCCAGTAATGGGCCCAGTGCCATGTTCTGGCAGGGGCCAAGGGGTGGGGGAGGGGAGAGGCAGGCAGTGCAGGACCAGGACTGAGCCTGAAGTTGATGAGCCCCTGAGTTGACTCTGCCCCCAACACCCACATGGTAACACTTCCCCTTGAACCCAAATCCTAGAGTCAACCCAGCTCTCCCTGGTGCCTTCGGTGAGCCCCTCCTGATAATTCATGCTCAGAGGGCACCAGGCCTCTCTCCTGCTCAGATGGCCATACTGATAGACTTGCAGGGTGTCTAATTCTGGGCCAGGTTGTCCTTCCTCTGCCCACCCTGCAGCCTGGCACCTGGCCCCACCAGCTCCACTGCCCCTTGCCACCACCCACCACAGTCAGTCACTGACTCCAGTTGCTCTGGCCCTCTCCCTGCACCTCTCAAGCCCAGTCCCTTCACCCTAGCCTGCCCTCTCCCTGGTACTCCCGATCAGCCTCACCCCACACACCTGTCCCCTACACGCTCCCCAGAGTGTAGACCCCAGCCCCCTCACCAAGGACTGGCGTCTCTCAGCTCAGCAGGTGCTGCTACTTTTGCTTAAAGCCATTTGCGTGATATTGGAAGTCACCCACCCACCGTGAGATTACAGGTCCATTACTAGTACTCTGTGCCTCAGTTTTCCCACCCACAAATGGAGATACCAGGGCACCCATCACATAGCTGCTCCAATGGCTTTATGAGTTACTATGTGCAAAGCACTGAGAACTGTCTGGCCCAGACTGACAGCTAAGAGTATGTGTTCTAATATACTTAATTTAATGTATTTATTATTGACTTTAGAGAGGGAGGGAGAGAAACATCAGTCCAGTTCCCTCCTATAAGTGCCCCAACTGAGCCTGGGCACATTTGTTCTAATTTAAAAGCTGCTCTCCACCCTAGCTGGTTTGGCTCAGTGGATAGAGCATCGGACAGTGGACTGAAGGGTCCCAGGTTCGATTCCAGTCAAGGGCACATGCCCGGGTTGTAGGCTCCATCCCCAGTTGGGAGCCTGCAGGAGGCAGCCGATCAATGAGTCTCATCATAGATGTTTCTCTCTCTCTCTCCCTTCCTCTCTGAAATCAATAAAAAACATTTTTTAAAAATAAAAGCTGCTCTCCACATGGGGATGGCAGTTCTCCGAGGACAGGGCCCAGGAACAGAGTGCAGCACTCTGCCTCGTACACAGTGGGTGCTCACTATGTGTCGGCTGCCTGGCCATGCCCTCTAGTCGGCCCTAAAGGTTGGGGCCCAACCCTGGCTTCCATTTGCTGGGTGGGGATGAGGGGTGGCTGGAATGTCACTGTCTCCCTTTTCCCAAACTGCTGCTGTCAGGTGCTTCTGGGTCTCCAGGGAACCAAGCCCAGCCATCTGCCAGGCTGGGGAGGACACCCCGCCTTCCCTGACGCCTGGAACAGAGGTATGAACCAACTGCCTCACCTCCCTCACCACCTGCCCCAGAGCCAAGAGGGAGGTGAGAAGGGGGAAGTAGGGCCAGAACAGGCAAAGGACCACCTGCCCTGGGCCTGACACAGCCCCTTCTGACACCTCAACCTTTATACTTCCTCCCCGAGGACTTGAGGGGACCTTGTCCCCCTAAAGAGGGTAGAGAATGGCCCCCAGACTGGAGGGAACCCCCCTTTGCTATCCCCAGAGTGGGCCTCCCTCCCAGCCTCAGAACAACTGGGTCTAATTAAAGGGTGAGAAAAATGCAAATTCAGGATTTGCAGAGAACACACGGGCACTCACGCAGCGCCTCAGCACTGGCACGTGGGATTTAGGCTGATAGGCAGAGGTGGAGCTCTGATGCTGGAGCCCTGCAAGCCGCAGACCCTGGTCCCCATCATTTCCTACTGACCCCATAAGCTGCCTGGGGTGCTGTCAGGGCTTTGGAGCCAAGAATCCAGGGGCACCCCCAGAAGAATCCCAGGACACAGCCCTCCTGCTAGCGGTGGTAAGGGGACTTTGGCAGGGGAGAGTAGCTGGGTAGGAACATTTCCCATGAGCCTCCTCACCCAAGGGCAGGGACCTCTGCCCTAAGCAATCCCTCGGTCTCTAGATAATACCCTTTCCTCAGCTGCTGGATGGGGTGTGTGTTCAAGGGCCACAGCCACCTGTCTTGTAGGTCCTGGATGGCCTGCCTGGCACCTCAGGGCCCCCTTTGTACAGAGGGGCAGCAATGCTGGCCTTCCAAGTGAACGCGGACCTTGAATTCCCTCTGACAGCTCTGGGGGCACCCGTGACCACCTACCCAGAGGCACAGGTTAGAGCCTCAGGGTGTGCTGGCCCCAGGCACAGGGATGCCATCACTGCTTTGGTTAGATGGAGCCTCCGTCTGTCTCCAACACCCTGGGGTTTTCAGACGGCAGGCAGCTTGATGGTTATGGCATTCCACCTCACCCACCCTGACCCTGGGAGCCGGGGGTCCATCTAGGAGCTCCACCTCATGAGCCTGTAAGTGCCACAGGATCATGGAGAACCAGCTGCCAGGGGTGTTGTGAGAACTCAATGAGCTGGTGTTGGGGACCCAGGACGTCCATCTCCACTCACCCGAAAGTCGATGCCCACCGTGGAGATGAAGGTCCCCGCTAGGAAAGCCCCATCCTTGAATCGCACAAGCAGGCAGGTCTTCCCCACGCCTGAGTCCCCCACCAGCATGACCTGAGGTGAGCAGGAGGGGCAGAGGTGTTAGGGCAGAGGCGACCAGGGTGCTGGCCCACTCAGAGGGGTGTCTAGTCTTCCCTGAGCTGGCCTTGTCAGAGAGAGGCTGTGAGTGAGGGGCAGGAATGGAGAGAGGCATCCCAGGCCCACAGGTGGACCCCAGGACTTGGATTTAGGACTGGGGCTGGGGGAGGGGGGGCGGACACAGCAGCTATGATCCCAGCTGGCCTGCACCTCCAGCTTCTATTTACCTCTGCAAGGTTCTGTCCCTTCTATCCCAGAAAGAGGCCCATCGCAATCAGTGGGGAGCGGGGGCAGATGCCTCCATCCAGGGCCCTACCGGACCCCCACCCCTCGGCCCTGAACACCATGCTTGATCTAGAAGGGAGCATCTGGGGAGCAGAGCCTGGGGGTTGGTGGCTGGGGGCCTCCTAGGAGGCCTGTGGGGGCCTCTATGCCAGAGAGTTTCCAATCTGGACCAGACTCAAGAGGAATGTGCCACTTGAGGGTCAGATCTTGTCAGGAGGGGCCTAAGCCAGGTCTGTGGATAGGAAGGGGCAATCAGGCCTAACCCCTCCTCCACCTCTCCGGTACCCCCCCCCCCAGGCCTGCTGCCAAAGGCCCCAAACCCAAAGATGGTCCTGCCACCACCCCCCCCCCCGCCCCCGTGCCACACACACACACACACACACACACACACTTTCACAAGCTTCTACAGCTCCCGGGGGTGAGGGAAAGCAGCATATGGTAAATAATGAGATTGG